GCCTGGTCCATTATACTCCTGCTATGAGTGAAACCATCCGGTATTTTTCTTTCTCTTTCTGGCTTATCTCACTAAGCATGATCTTTTCCACCTCCACCTGTGATGAGAACTTTTAAGATCTACTCTTAACACCTTTCAATATGCGCCCCGCTATTATTAGCTAGAGTCATCATGCTGTACATGACACCCCCAACATGCATTTCTAGCACCATTCTCTTGAGCTGCCCTCTTATCTGCTCAGCTGCCCCCCTCCAGGCCTTACTAGGGCTCCAACCCTTTGGATTCTTCTCTTTGTATCCTCAGGTAACCAAAAGTTAAGGGCATTGTGCTTAAGTCATAAAAATAAAAGCCACCTTCATAACAGCCTTCACCAGAACAAGAAGCCTCTCCAGCCATGGTCCACATTGGTGGCCAGGAGGCTCCTCACCCTCCCCTCCGAGCAGGATGCATGACAAGAGGATGGGAAGGGCTCAGTGCCAGGGACAGCCTGGCTCCCGGCTTCCTTTCCCTCCTAGCTATCCAGACACTTCGGTTTTAGAGAAATCTGCAAACATTCTCTGCAGCTTGAGGCAAGTTCTCTCTTTCACCTCTCTGAGCTGGCTGACCCCGGCAGGCTGTCATTCATTGAGTGGGTCACCATTTTTGAAGCTCCTCCTTTAGGCCTGGCACCATCTAGCTATCAGAAACTCAAGCAGTGGTCAGTTCTCACCTGGGGTTCATCCGCAGGGAAAGCTCAGCTGAGGGCTGAGCACTCAGGGCAGAAGCACAGACGGAGAAGCTGATGCAGACTGGGTCACGGTTCGGGCACGGCCGCGAGGAAATGATATTTTAAGCCAACACTAGCAGATGAGCAGGAGGTGGTCTAGGAAAGCTGTAACGGGAAGACGGTTGCCAAGGCAACAGCCACACGCACAAGAGCCTAGAGATGGGAGGACAAATTCCAAACTCGCTGCTCCTAGTGTGGGCCAGCAGCAGGCCGTCATCAGAGAGCTGCCTAGAGATGCAGTCCTAGGGCCCGCCCACCCCTCCTGATCACAACCTGCCTTTTAACAGTCCCCAGGTGACGGCTGGGCACATTAGAAGTTAGGATGACTAGATCCTAGAGATGAGGGGCTGAGGAGGAGAGGGGAAAGTTTGCCAGGGCCTGATGAGGCAGGACTACAAAGACTAAGGCCTTTGGATTTGATGATTGGGACATGGGGGTGCAATGTGAATAGGGCTGCTGTTTGTTTTTAACAAGAAGGGGTGTGACCAGTACAAGTTAGAACGCTGGCTGGTGGCATGGAAAATGGACCTGGAAGCAGTTGGACTAGAGGCAAAAACAGTCTGGGACTGTGAGTGTAAACCAGGAGAAAAGGCCCTTCCCATGCCGACTCGGGGGCTGCCGGCCACCCTCCCTCCAGACACCTCCAAATGGGGCAGGCTCCACTGACATCTCTTCTGATATGTAGGGTCCTGGCTCCCTCCTAGACTAAACCCTGGAAGGCAGGGGTCACATGACACCTTACCTGATAGTGACTTCTGGAATTCAAAGATAAAAATAACAATACTCAGTGCTGGTGAGGGCCTGGGAGAGACGGCGAGTATCAGCAAGGATCAAACCTGAATCAGAACAACTTCCCGGACAATAATGCCATAGCAGGGGGGGTTGAACATGATTCTGCACTGCCTTGACTCATTCCACAAGTGAGGATCAAAAAGAAGCAAATAGAAGATCAGGATAAAATGTGCATTATGATAGTAATAATGAACAACTATATACCAGAGACATTTTACAGGGGTGGTGTGGGGAATGGGATTAAAAAAAAAATGGGGGCCCTCCCTGGTGGCGCAGCGGGTTAAAGCCCTGCACTAAGAAACTAAAGCCACTTCCGCATGAGTTCGATTCCCGCCTGCCCCGGAGGCGACCACATGGCGAGGCAGACCTCTCCTGACCCGCCCGCTGCTCCCCTCAGCAGTGTACTTCGTCGATCTGCCTGTTCTGCTCCCCACTCTGTCTCTGGTGAATCCTCTCACCCTTCGCATCTCTGGCCTGTACCCCAGTTCTGTACGAATAAATAAATAAATGTTTAAAAAAAAATGGGGGCGGGAGTGGGGAGTGTACTGGACTATGGTGATGGCACATGGGTGATTTGGTAGTAGGAAGCCCACAGGGATTACAACTGAGATGGGAAAAGGCACAAAATGATGTAAAAATAAACTATTATATTATTTTTTAAATGTACCTTATGAAATGTTAGTAGCAAAAATTAGAAAGTACTGAAAAGTCTTGGGCATAAGGGAGGTTTAGCTAAATGATGGTGATCACCATGTGGGCTTCTTTATTCTTCTGAGATGTATACAAAATCACGAAAGCATGTCATGGTGAAAGGGTTGAAGAGAACAAATGTGAAAATGATACATAGACATGGAAGAAAATATACCAAAACATGAACAATGATGGAATGAATAATTCCTTCTTTTTGTTCTTCTGCAGATTGCAAATATTCTATAATAAGTACATAATATTTTGGCGATGAGAAAAGATATATTTTTTAAAAGGAACTCATTAGGGCCCTCCCTGGTGGCACAACAGGTTAATGTGCAGCACTATGAAGCTATCCTCAACCACTGCAGCATGAGTTCGATCCCCAGCCTGGGAGCTGACCCGCATGGCACCACAGACCTCTCCTGTCTGCCTGCTGCTTCTCCTCAGCAGTGTATTTCAGTGGATCTGCCTGTTCTGCTCCCCACTCTGTCTCTGATGAATCCTCTCACCCCCCTGCACCTCTGGCTTGTTCCCCAGATATTGTATGCATAAATAAATAAATCTTTAAAAATGTTTGCTTTTGCACAGATAACTCCATGGTCCTGGAGGCGGATGTCACTGTGGAAGGGTTCAACACCATCAACGAGACAAAGATCCCGATCATGGCACACCCCCCAGCCATCTACAGTGATAACACTCTGCAGCAGTGGCTGGAGGCTGTGCTCTCTTCTTCCCAGAAAGGTAAGACTCCTCAGCCCCCTTTGGCACCCTGTCCTCAGGTTCTCTGGCAGTGAATGAAATATCCCTGCACCTGGTTCCCACCTTCACAGCTCATTGCTCATTGGTTTTCCAGTCCAACATTCCAGGGACTCAGTTCAGAGGCCTAGGTGAGAGGGGGATGGGGAAGTGTGGACAGATGCAAGTGCCGAACACTCTCACGATGTTCCAGCCTGAGCCCTAGAGCCTGGATCACGTTCAAAGCCATCCTCACCCTTGCTCTCCCGTGTCCCCTGGCCAGTCACAGTCAGCATCCAGGCATCGCCTTGACGTCCACCTCATCTCGCACAGCTACTCGATTGCTGCATCTGCATATTCTTACCCCTAACCCTCTCCCCTGGCCCCAACCCAGTCCCAGCTACGTCTCTCTCCTGCACCTCCATCCTGGACCTCTGGCTTCCTGCTTCCAAACTCAGCCTTTCTAGCCTTCTCTCAGTCACAACTGCCACCACACACACAGTTCAGGGAACTTTCCAAAATGACAATTTTGTCATGTTATGTCCCTGCTTCAACCACCTTGGTTCTCCATTGGCCTCAGGATGAAGCCTGGTCTTGGCCTGGGTTTCCACATCCCTGCCCACCTTCCCAGCCTCACCTGCCATCCCCTTCCTCCCCAGCCTCTTGCCACCCTGCATGGAGTGGCTTTGTTCACCTTCCTCGTAAACTGTCCTGCTTTTCTCAAACACCCCTTTCTGGAGGACAAATGACCTTCTCAAACACCCCTTCCTGACCTCCCTGCGGGTTCTATGAGCTTAGCGCCCTCTGAGTCTTCCCTGTCCAAGAAATACAGTCTTGATCTTTCATCAGATGCCTGAAACCCCTGCCCAGACCCCAAATCCCAAACCTTTAGTCTCTGCTTCCTCCCATGGGGGACAGGAGCTCACTGGTGCAGAGAAGGTCCTTCTGGGGAGCGCTGCCTGCTAGAAAGCCCTTCTGCACACCCAGCCAGAATCTCGTTCATGTTTTCCTGCCTCCAACATGCATACCACACTAGCCCTCTGCCCCAGGAAGTTATGTCTTTGGGTTCCTTCTTCCTGAGCAGAAGGTCCAGTTCTCTAAATTCCCAGGCCTCTCCCTACAGGCATCAAATTGGACTTCAAGAGCCTCAAGGCTGTGGGCCCCTCCTTGGACCTCCTGCAGCAGCTGACAAAAGATGGGAAAATCCAGAGGCCCGTGTGGATCAACGCTGACATCCTGAAGGGCCCCAACGTGCCCATCTCAGTCCACGTTAATGCCAAACAGTGCGTGTCTGCCTCTGTTCCAGCTGCGCCCAGCCCCTTTTTCCACATGGGCGTAGGGAACGCTCAGGGACCTTGGCTGAGTTTGCTTCCAGCATACTATGCTGACTCATCTCTGAGCCTTTGCACCTGCTGTTCCCCCTACCCGGAATGCCTGCCACCCTTTCTTGATGAACCTGTATTCAATCATTACCACTGCTGGAAACTTCCTTGGCATCCCAGGCTGCCAAGGGTTTTCCTGTTAGGTCTTTGGGCTTTCACTGTTGGTTTGCAGCTTTGTCACCCTACTACACTGCATTCTGGAAGGCAGCAGAAGGGGTTTCCCGTCCCCAGTTATCAGGGCAAGATGGCCTACAAAAAACTCTAGAGTGCCCATTGCTTTGTTTAGCTCCCCCTGCAGTCCCACTACTGCCACTAACGGGTCACGTAACAGGAAATACCTGAGTTGATCTTAATGTGGCAATGCCATGGAAGGCGTATTTACCCCATTTTGCAGATGAGAAAGCTGACAATTGTCATTCAAAATTTATTGAATGTTTAGTATATGTCTCAGGCACTGTTTTAAGTACTTGTGGAATACTACTCAACTCATACAGTGATAATGAGGTAGGTGCTATTTTCGTTTTATTAATATGGGAGCTAAGTCATCAATAGCCAATGGCCTGCCCAAGTCTAGTACCGGCAAAGATTCAAAAGCCAGGCCTTACTGATTCTAGGTGCCATTCCTGAACATCCATTTCTCCAACCATCCACCCCCGCCCCCCCATCCAACCGGCCAGCCAATGTTACTGTGATTCTCAAAGTTAGGTGCATTTGGAAAGCAGCAGTTTGAAAAGTACAGCTTGTATTTTTGGAGTATTAGTTTTACTCAAGAGTTTGGGGAGGAATAGGGAACATTATTTGCCAGTTAAGAAGTATATCAAGGCAATCTGAAATTTAAAAATAAAACTGAAACTTCAGACTCTCACAGCTGGCAGAGCTCAGATGCCCACACCCGGGCTCAGAGTTGATTGTCCTTGGTCCACATGGGATGCTTAGGAGGCCCTGCCCTGACTGCAGGGACATCATTTTGAGAATCAGAGGTTAAAGGCGCCTCCCAAGGTCACAGTCAGAGCTGAACTCTCACAACCCAACTGCAAAGTTCATGTCCCCTCTGTGGGACCTTGAACAAGCTGTCTCTGTTCTTTATGGCTTGCTTCTGCCCATTCATATATCATAGCTGTCCTGTCACTTCCTAGCATTGTGATAGGAGCTCAGAGATGAGGAAAAGGCCAGCAAGGTTCTAAAGATGGACATCACATTCTCTGCAGGTTCCTGGCCTTAGTCCAGGAGAAGTATCCCGAGGCCACCCTGTCTCCAGGCTGGACTACCCTGTACGTATCCCGGAATAGAACATACACCCAAGCCATGGTGGAGAAGATGCAGGAGCTGGTGGGACCGCTGGCCCAGAGGGTCACCTTCCCCGTCCGGGCAGCCATGGTGCGGACAGCCTGGCCCCACTTCAGCTGGCTGCTGGGCCAGTCTGACAGGTGAGAGTCCCAGGCCTCCACTCCCACCAAACCCACCCCCAGGCACTAATGCCCCCGGGAAGACCCCAGATGCTCTTGTTGGGGGGGTCTTAAAGATCACCTGGCTCCTCGCCCTCTCTCATGCTGTGTACACCCTATAACGTCCCTGCTCACATACTTCTGAGAAGGCTGTGAGTACCACAACAGCATGGGGCCGTTGAGGGCGCTCCCCCTTCCCACCCCTCTCCCCCACCCCATGCTCCTCCCCTTCTGTCCTTTCCTAAGACAGCACCAGAAACAGACACTCCAAGTGCTGAAGCAGGGCAGGCCACCCTCCATCCTGGGTCTCTGCTTTCAGGCATTGTTCCTTGAAGCCTCCAAGGCTTCTTCGACCCCCAGGGAGGGAGTAGTGCTCAGAGGGAAGGTGGGAAGCTGGCGATGGGACCTTCCACCCCCGCCCCAGGCAGAGCCAGTTCTGAGCACTGTGGGGCTGAGAGCCCTGCTGGCTAGAGCTGAGTCTGTGCCCCGCACCGCAGATACAGCCTGACGCTGTGGCAGGGCTCCATGGACCCAGTGAGAGTGGACGACCTCCTCTACATCCGCGACAACAGCGCCATCCATCAAATCTACTACGATCTCTTTGAGCCCGTCCTTTCGAAGTTCAAGAAGCTCGCCAGTAGGGAGCAGTCTGGGGAGGGTGGGGGGCTGGGTCGTCGCAGGGCCACACTCGTGGTCACGGAAGCAGAGGTGGCCGGGCAGGATGGGGGAGCAATCTTTTTAAGTACCTGCTGCATGCCAGACCCTGGTCTGGTATGCTATGCTTCACAGATCCAAGATCAAGCAATCCATTTTTATAGAAAACAGGCTCCAAACGGTTCATTGTTTTACACAAAGTCCGATTGTGGTGGTGACACAGATCAGACTGGCACCCAGGGGGTTCCACCCCGCTGAGCTTCCAGTGGCACGGTTCCTGGGGGTGTCTCTACCAGTCCAGAGAGGAGTTTCTCCACTGAACCCACTAATCAGTGATCCAGATTCTGCCTGTTTCCTTGTCCAAGTCTTAATGGCTTACCCAGGATAGCCAGCAATGAAGTCATCTCAAAGGGTGCTTCAGACACTCATTGCCCCGTGGCAGCCACCTAGGTGAAGGGGTGCAACACCAGCTGTAGGGCTACCTGGACTGGCCCCATCCACTTCCAACCCCAGCCACTCGGCCTGTGGCAGGAGGACTTGTGCAGGTGACTTCCCGTAAGCTACAAAGTGGGATTGGTAGCCACAACTCTGGGTAGGTTACTCTGAGGGTTAGAGAGAATGTTTGCAGGGCGGTGGCCCGTAGAAAGGACTCTGTAAGGGGTGGCCACTTCATCTTCGCAATTTGGATTCTACAGTGAATACCACACGGAGGCAAGTCTACTACACGGGGGGCAGCTTGGTCCCCCTTCTTCAGCCCCCCAGGGGTGATGGTCTGAATGTGGAGTGGCTGGCTCCTGACATCCGAGGCAGTGGAAAAACAGCGACAGTTCAACTTCCAGGTAAGTCCTGCCTGTGACCCTGGTGCAGTAGCTTAAGTGCAAGGATTTCTTTTGGGGGTAGGTAGCTCCAGTCTTTGTTATGGTGGCAACATGCAAGCTACTGGTTAAGGGGGCAGGGTACAGTTGTGTCAAGAGCATAGGGCTCTTCTGACCAGAGCCCTGAACAGTCAGCCCCACGGTACTACAGGAGAGGTGAGCAAGGGTTGCCACAGCCTACAGCCGAGAGCTGAATGAGCAGCTTATCGCCTCATTCTGATGAGCCCAGGACACATTTAGGAAGCAGCTTTTCGACCGGGTGCCTGCCCAGACGTAGGCTGACAGTACCCAGGCAGAAGAGGCATGGCTTCGCCTCGGCAGCCTCCATTGCCTCCCCGCTGTCCCTTTAACAAGAGCTTCTGACACCCCCATGATAACCTGACCCCAGACATGGTGGCCACTTTGCTTCTTCCAGGTCGAGAAGGCATGATCCTGCTGAACGTTGGCCTCCAGAAGTCCGCAGCTGGGGACCCTGTGCCCATTGTCCACGCCCCGGGGGGCCCTGCCCTGACGCTGGAGTCATGCCTGCTGCAGCTTCACGCTGACCCTGGCCGCTGGGGTGTGCATCTGCACATCGCAGAGCCCATGGCGCTCCGGCCAGCCCTGGCCGTGCTGGCCCACCTCTCCACCCTCGGCCACCTGTCTCGGCCTGTGTGGGTCGGGGCCACCGTCTCCCATGGGAGTTTTGTGGTCCCAGGCCATGTGGCTGGCAGGGAGCTGCTTACAGCTGTGACTGAGGTTTTCCCCCATGTCACACTGGCACCCAGCTGGCCCGAGGAGGTGCTGGGCAGTGGCTACAGGGAACAGCTGCTCACAGACATGCTGGAGCTGTGCCAGGGCCTCCGCCAGCCTGTGTCCTTCCAGCTGCAGGCTGGGCCACTGGGCCAGAGTGAGGCTGGAGCCATGGCCAGGCTGCTGGCAGCTTCCCCCCGGGCCACCATCACGGTGGAGCACAGCCTGGCAAAGGGCAACTATGGATCCGTGCGGACAGCACTGCTGGCAGCCAGAGCTGAGGACAGGGCCCGAGTCTACTACAGGCTGCCCCAGGGGTTCCGCTCAGACTTGTTGGCAGATACCAACAGACACTGACAGCCGGGTGGCTCTGGGTCAGCAGACCTTGGGTCACAGGTCCCCACGGGGGAGGCAAGGAGGAATAAACTCCTGCCTGCACTACGCACTGCTCATGTGTCCTTGGGGGAGGAGGAGAGGGCGGAGGTGGCCACTGAGGATGCTAGAGGGTCTGGAGGCTGGGGGCCAGATCGTTCCGGTTGTCCAAGAGGAACTGCGCGCAAGCCTTGAAGGTGGTGAGGAACTCAGAAGAGAGGCCGGCCACGTTGGTGGTCACGTAGTTGAGTAAGCCTGGGGTGGCCTGGTTGTAGTAGGACACCTGCTGGACAGGAAGTGACACTCAGGAGGCGGCCAGGGACAGGGGTCAGGGGTCGGGGGGGTGAGCCGAGGGGTAAGAGGCGGGCACAGAGTCAGGCTTGCTCGCTACCCCTGAGGCCTTAGCTGATTGCTGGCCTCCAGCTCCTGACTCATCTAGTACCACAACCCCGGTTTCCCTCTGTCACCAAAGACCGCATGCAGTCGCCAGGTATCGCCCTGCCGGCTGAGAGGCCCAGGAGGACAAGGCCAGGTCACCAAAGTCCAGTTCGAATCCCATTTCAAAGGTGTGCTCCAGCCACCTTATAAATAAGCACAGGGGCTGTTCTGAGAAGCTCATCAGTTGAAGCTGTACGTGAAGTAGGAAGTCAGCACCGGCAGAATCCTCGCCTGGGCCAGTCTCAGGTCCCTAAGGGCCGCCTTGGGGGACAGCTGCGGCTGTCCCACCTGGGACAGCCACCCTGCCCCCTTCCCACGTTTACTGAACACTGATAGCCTGCTGTGTGTGCCCTGAGAGCCACCTGAAACCTTCCTGGAGAAGAGGCACACGAGTGAAGAGATGGAATGGCTCCAGTGGGAGGGGCCCAGGGGACACCGGCCTCACCTTGGTCAACTGGTCACCCTCGCGCCAGAAGCAGAAGCCAGAGCAGAGGGTCTCCCCGCGCCTGTAGTCCTGCGTCTCACGGTGTGTGGGGAGCGTGACTGACCTCAGCGCGATGACATAGGGGTCCCTAAAGCCAGGGAAGGGTGGGGGCGGGGCACAGGAGGTGAAGGGCTGTTCTGCTCAGCCCAGGCTCCAGAGACCCCCTGACCCTGACACCCTCACCAGGGTCTAAGACACATAAACCCTTAAAGGCTGGATGCTTGGCTCTGGGCCATGCTGGAGAGAGAGGCCCCTGTGGGTTAGCAGCACAGAAATCCTCAGGAGCTCCTGTGACCTCCCTGGATTTTCCAGAAAAGTCCCTCCACTGCAAAGATTCAGGGGAGGTGTGGGCACCTTGGGCCTTTCTACACCTATCTAGCAAAAGGGATGCCATGGGCCCTGGTGTCCTTATTGGTGGCACAGCTGGTACCTTCAGACCATGTGGGGCTCTCAGAGGATGGAGGCCAAGGAGGTGACCTGCCCATGGCCTGGACAAGGCAGCCTCAGGTGTCTCCCACCCTGCTGTAGAGGACAAGTGTGTCCTCTTCTCCCATCTTAGTCTCAGTAAGACCGTGGCAGGCTAGAACAGCCAAGTGGTGCCTGGCATCCCTCTGCAGCAGGAGACAGCTGCGACTCTGGACTGACATCCCCGTCCAGGGGAGAGGAGCCCTGCCAGCCTCCCACCCAGTGGGCGGACACCCACCCATTGTCCCAAGGCTTCCGGCGAGACGCAAGGATGACAAAGTCCTGGGGCTTGGCATCAGTGCTGAGGGCAGGGCTGATGACGTGGTAGATGGCGTCGTCCTCATCCACCTGCTGCACCAGCTCCACGCTCCTGCAGGGACAGCCACACTCAGGGTCCAGGGAGCTGCCCTGGCTCCTGGTGCCAGAGACGTCTGGCCCAGGCCCTCTATGCTTCAGCCACCCTGAGCAGGGGCTGGGGGGCTATATAGCCCCCACACTGCTCAGAGACACCCTGGGAGGGCAGCAAGGGCCCAGCCAAGATGGACACACCTTAACAAAAGCAAATGTGCACACACATGCAGACACGGGCACAAAGACGTGTACAGATACCTGCACACCTGGGCATACACGCACACAGATGCATGCAGAGACACTCACCTGTGCACACACAGAGCCGTGAGCGTCTGTACATGCCTGTGCTCTGCACTCTGCCTCAGTCTTCATACTGACTGCCACTCTGGCCCACTGCTATTCCAAATGTCCCTCATGTACTATCACTTAACCCCAAAAATGGCCCATGGGGTACAGTCCTCATTTTATAGATGAAGGGGTTGAGACCCAAGGGATATCCACCCATGAACCTCTGAACTAAGATGGAAGCAGCTGGGATGCACTCAGGCTGTCAGCAATAGAGCTGGGCCCACAGGCCTGGGCACAGCAGATGCCTGCCCAGGTATGCACACTAGGCTTAACCAACACACAAGGGCATCTGCACAGACGCACAGGAGCGTGGTTTGCCCTGCCACCTTCTCCCCAGGAGTCCCTCCCACCCTGGAAGGCTGCCTCAGGAGAAGGGGAGCTTCAGACAGAGCTGGGGAAGCAGCAAGGGGCCTACTGGTACCCTATCAAGTACAAGCTCTGATCTGGCATTCAAGGCCCCCACCAGTCCACTTCCTCCAAGAAGCATTTCTACAATGTACTAATCCCCACCCCAACATCCACCACTGAAGGACCTCTTCAGGCCTCGCCAGTGGGCTTGAGTCACCTACATTAAGGATTTTTTAAACAAAGTCCAGTTTGTAGAACTCTTACGCAGAAAATGTATCAGCTACTAGTGAGCCAACGGTCAACTTGCAAAGCATCAACTCTCCAAACAACCTGCTCACAGAACTTCCAAATGCCAGATCCTCCTAATGGGTGTGCACAAGAATACAGGCACCTCATAATAAACCACTTTTAAAAGATTTGAAAAAAATACTAGTTTTTTAACATTCCCATATTAATCAGTGAAATTCTGACTATTCTCCCAAGAATATATTTATCTTCCTTGGCTACATTCAAAATGTCTTCAAATGAAGAATCAGTGAATTCAGGGGGCAAATGTATTCATAGGAATAACATTTCTATACAGCCCTTTGCTACATTCAAAAACTAATATATTCACGTACATACCCATAAGAACTGGTCAACTTGGTAAATTCTAGTGTTCTAAGCCTGGGAGGGAGGGAACACACCCCTTCTGTGTTCTAACCCCCCATAACCACCACCAAGCAGCCCTTGAGTTCTGCTTAGGGTCATAGAATATCCAGAACAAGTCACTAATCTATCCCTGACTGTAAATCCATGATCAGCCCTCAAATACCCGTTTAAAAGGTGGGAAGCCAAGACCCAGAAAGAAATGATCTGTCCAACTTCACACAACTAACTGAACCAGAAACAACTTAAATCCAGGCCTCCAATTCCAGTTTGTGCCCCTTCCCTGTGGGGTCAGAATTACCATGACGTCGTCCCCCACCACGCATCACTCCAGCTGCCCCTTCTGGGTAAAGGCCCTGGGGGTCAAGCATAATGGAAGAGAGTTCCCCAGGAGGAGGCACGAGCCCCGCTCCCCCAGGCCTGAGAAGGGGCCCCCTCATTGGCGCCCAGGCTCTAACCGGCAATGCTTGTCCCACTCTGGCCTCCGTCGCAGGTCCGAGAGCAGCAAGAAGGCCTGGGCCGTGTCCACCTGCACCAGCATCTCCATGTGGAAGGAGAGGAATTTGTCTTCTTCTAGAGTGTACAGACGGACCTGCATGGGACAGAGGGGGCCTCATTCCTGACCCGGCCCCAGACTATGCTGGGAGGTGTCTGAATGGAGGAATCTCCATAAAAGGGAAGGTTCCAGGTGGCCTGTCCCACCTACCGAGGGGGAGCTGATGAAGTTAGGGAGACTTGGAGGGGCACATGTGGAGCAGAGAGACCTGTGAAGGAGGTGAAGGAGAGGGTGCTTGCTCCTCAGCTTTGGAATTACCAGGGACTTGGGGGACACAGCAGAGACACGTGGAGTTAAAAGACACAGAAACTCATGGCATATGGGGATGATGACAGTGGGAGCCTTTATCTTGTGCTTGAATTTTGCTCCTGTTGTCCAAGACTTGACTGGCCCTTTCTGCCCCTTTCCTAAGATTCCCCGCCAGATGGGGCCTTAGATTGTGGCCAACTCTTGGGTCTCCGTGTCCCCACTTTGGCCAGCCCTGTTTGACTGGACATTTATCCACAAGGGGATGGGTCACTTTGGGTGTTTCATTGCTGGAGACCGAGATGGGGAATTCAGAGCTGCCACTGATCTGCTGTGTGATGGTGAACAAACAATACAACCTCTCTGAGCCTCATTTACATCCCCATGAAAGTGGGCTGGGAGGGAAGTCAGAACTAGTGGATATCATCTCAAGGTATCTCGGAGTTGGCTTAACGAGCAGTGTGCAGGGTGGTAATAGAAAGGGTCTTCAGAGCCTGGGGCCCAGTAACCTGTCAAGGGCAAGGGTGGCTGAGGTCAAGCCTTCCCTCAGCCCCGCTCTTCCTGCCCGCCCCAGCCCTGCAGGGACTCACTAAAGAAGCAGACAACAAAGGAGGCATCAGAGGAGAGAGTAGGAGAATGAGAGATGGGGGGTAGAAGAAAAGGGGTTCTCTCTGCCGGGCACTATGGGAGCAGATATGTAACCGGGTTGATTTCATGGTCTCATCCACTTCGTTTTAAGACATCTCCTTTTGTCCTGAGTGGTTTGAGTTTCTGTTACTTGTCCCAATCCCCTCAGAGGAGAAAGGAAAGTGGGGTGGGTCAGCTGCTCAGAGGAGAAAGGAAAGTGGGGTGGGGTGGGGTGAGGGGGGGTCAACTACCTGGTTGGTCTCTGACGACAGCACCCAGTTGTCCTTGGCCACAAGCATCTTCAGGGAGGAGACGTTGTTGTAGCTCAGGTACACCTGGACAGAGCACACAGAGGAGCCTCACCTTCTCTGCTTCCTTGGGCTTGGTGCTGAGGCAGAGGAACCTGGGCATGAAGAAGGTGGTGCTGGGGGGGGCCCTGAGCTTGGGGAAGGAGGCCAGGCTTGGTCAGTCTCAGGGCCTCCTGTCCAAATGGGAGGAGGATGTGGGGTACAGGAAAGGCCTTTGCTGACTGTACCTATCTCGAGGCATGGCATTAGTGTCCTGATGCCCTCTTCGGACCCACCTCCAAACCCACTCTGGTTTGGGACCGGGGGAGACCCCGGAGGTCCTGACAACTGAGAGGGTCTTACCTGATTGCTAGGGTCCCAGGGGACTGACAGGGGCATCTCCGTCTGCTTACAGGACACAATGTACCTCCTGGAAGAGAGGGAGGGTGGCAATCTCAATCTCGATCTTTGGCGGCCCATTGTTTTTGATGGGCTTCACCGTGGGCCTACTGTGGTGCCAGGCCCCGTGTATCCAGCACAGGAGGAGAGATGCCTGGGAGGTGGCCATGGAGACTGGGTGGTCACACAGAAAACAGTAGCTGAGAACACAGACTCGGGGGTGGGCACAGTCGATGAGGTGCAGGGGGAACCCGGAGAAGGAAGGCTCAGACCCCACACCGTGTTGAGCTGTCCACTCTGGCCAAGTGACGTCACCCTCATGCCTTGGTGTCCTCGTCTAGAATGAGTCGGGGTGACAACTGCCTGGTGGCGTCATCACAGGAGTGGTGCTGGGGTTGGCAGGTTCTCCAACACACGCGCCTTTCTTACTAACAATGGTTTGAGAAGCCAGGTGTGAGCGCGTGACTTTCAAGTGTGTAAAGTGCTTTCACAGCAGAGTCCTTCACACCTGGGCTTGTACTTTGAGAAAAGCTCACCCTGGGCTTGTCTTTCTTCCTCTGCCAAGCAGCCACCAGAGTCCATGAAAGGAACACATGGAAACTGGCCAGACCCTGCCAGATTCAAATTTCACTCTGCCAGTCCTTCTTATCTGTATGTCTGCAGCCACCCCCCACCCCCCATACGGGTCACTCACAGTGTCCTGGCCTGTACAGTGGGTCAGGTGGCCACTGCACAATGAAGTGAAAGTAAGGGGCTGATGGATGTGGAGGGCCGGCATGGTGGCTGAAGAAATGAAAGTCCCAGGGGCTGGGGAGCAGCCTGAACCCTGAGTCCCTGCCCAGCCCCCACTTGCCTGTCCAGTCGGATCTTCCTCCTGGCACTGGCCTCCCGGTACCGCCGCTCACCATCCTGGGGAGGGAAGCAGGGTCAGACTGTGGTGTGGGTGGGATGCTTAGCTTGCTCTCCCCACCCCACCACCACTGCTACCTGCCCCCCAAGGGTCCAAGGAAGCCTACAGCCCTATAGCGGAGTTCGGGTCTCACTGGGGCAAGCAGAGTCAGAGCAACCTGCAAAGGCAGATGTTGGGGACAGAGCAACAGCCCCAGCTCCCCTCAGGCTCCAAGTGACCTGGACAACAGCACCTGCCCTCCTGCAGCCCAGTTTCCTCCTGGGCAGTTTCCGATCCCTAACGGGTATCGGAAGGCTAGTGAGTAGCACATGCAGTGCACATTGCCATGCACGGGGCGCCCATACAGCACTTTCTGTGCAAAACCCATTAAGCCTGGCAACAGCCCTGCTGTAAGTACTATACCATTGCACAGAGGAGGAAACCGAGGCACAGATGGGTCTAGTAGCTTACCCCAGGTCACAGCAGTAAGCAGTGGAACCAGAAACAGAACCCTGGTGGCCTGACTGGAGTCCACCCTCATAACCACTACTTCTAATGCCTCCCTGCTCGAGAGCATGAAGTGGCCAAGGCCCAGAGGCACCCTGTGGACTGTACACCATCTGGCCACCTGTGTGTTTCCCGAACCCCCACCCCCACCACCTCTCTTACTGCCCAAAGTCCAGCTTTGGAGCAGGGGGTTTCATAGCCTGTGCATGGCCCCGTGAGGTGGGCAGACAGAATGAGGAACCTTCCCCGAGAGCAGGAACGACTTCTCCAAGGTCACTCCCTGTAAGTGAGCAGAAGGCCCACAGGAGGCACAGGGAAGCTTGTGTGTGTGTGTCTGACAGCCTTTGAAGCCAGGCCCTTGGCTCTCATCTTTGCCTGTCAGCATAATCATAGAAGTCACCACTTACTGAGTGCCCACGGGGTTCAGCGCCTCCAAAGACACCCGTCCCCGCCCCCGACAGTCTTGTAAGGCTGGGAATGCAGAAACACCACTTTACAGTCAGGACTAGAAGCTTGCAGAGGGCACCCCTAGACTGTGGCAGAGGCACGTTACCAGCCCACATCAGGCTCCGTTCAGTGCTCTTCTAACACCACAGGCTCGTGAAGGCCTCTCCACACCCAAGTACAAGCCAGGCTCACCCACAGGGTCTTTCAGGTAGAACAAGGGCCCCACCTTGCATAGGGGCATTCTAGGAGTCACACCAGGCACTAGCTGTAGGGCTGGGACTGTAGCTCCCCAGCCCTCACAGGGGCTGGCAGGCCCCAGCACCCCACGGCAGCACTACCCCCACTCACTCCAGGCTGGGGCCGAATCCAGGGCAGCTTCCGAGGCTGGTTATCCGCATCCAGGACCACGAAGGTCATGAAGGCGCTGTTGATGTGCCGCCGGTGGGTCTCGGCCTCCTGGCGGTAAGCCTCCACGCACACGCCCACCTCCATGCTGTGGGCAGGGAGGGATGCGTCATGTAGACAGCCCTTCCCGCAGTGCTCACACACGCACACACATGCAGTTCTTCCATGTCACATCCGAGTCCCACCCGCAGGGAACCATGGCTGTCCCCCCGCATCAGCACGGAGGAGCAGCGACAGCCCACCTGGCCGGCCCTGTGCCTGTCACTGGGGACACAAATGAGCAAGACTGCCTGTTTGTGCCCTCACGCCTCCCTGCTAGGGGTGGGCAGCAGCAGAAATATAACATAGATTTTGGCCACTGCAAAGGATTATGAAAGGACCCAAGCAAAGAAGTGGAGCACAGAGCCGGTCAGAAAACACGCTCCTCACACATTCCCAGCGCTAACAGCTGTACCCCGAAAGCCTGGTGGCTGCTGTTGCTCTACATCTTCCTGTCTTTATTCACTAAACAGGAGCTGTCGCCACCCTTCCTGCTCAATGTGGAAGACTAAGGGCCCAGAACACTGCATCATACAATAAGGAAACCAAGGCCGAGGGCAGGTTGCTAATGCCTGAGTTGCACACAGCGAGGAGAACAGCAACAGGAGCTGGGCCCCTTGTTCAGGGCTTCCCTTGCACAGCAGCAGACTATGTGATGGGTAGACTGTGAACGTGAATACTAACGCCGCCGCGGCAAAGGCTGGCCGTCAGCACATATTTTTCTGGCATTCGGCTAGTAACGCGTCATTGAATTCTCCCAACTATGAGGGACTTGCGGTGAGCATCACAGCACAGGGAAAGAACTGAGATTCAGGAGGGGTTAAGTAACTTGCCCAAAGTCACACAGACAGCAAGGGGGGGTGCCAAACAGGATCCCAGGCAGCCTGGCTCCAGAGCCCTCACTTTTAACCTCTACAGTATGATCTCTGAAGTCACCAAGAAGATACACATCTAAAGGAAGTTCTCAGGGGAGTATCAGGTAAGGGCACTGGGGCTAACTGTTGTTTTCAGAAATGGGCGGGTTTATGAAGGACGGAGCCCAGGCAAGAGGCGGTCTGCGATCCGAGCGCCAACGGCTCGCCGGGCCTGGAGGCTGGAGTGGAGGCAGACCCGAGAGCATGGGTGCAGCCGAGGGGGCCTGGAGAGGGACTTCAGAGCTGCGTCTCAGGGACGGTGGAGGCACCGAGCAGCCAGGCAGGGCAGAGAGCTCATGTGCAGGGCTAAGGGTTCCCAGAAGCTTGGCCAGCATGTCCCTTTGGGGGCCTCAGCCCGGGGACCCATCCCGCCCATCCCAGCCCCTCACCTGTGTTTGAAGGCGTTATTCACAATGGCCTTGAGCACCAGGCGGTCCCCAACCTGGGATGGGCCCCGGAAGTGGAACATCTCAATGGCCTTCAGCGTCGGGAGAGCGCGGCACAGTCGACTGCAGGAGGCCAGGGTTTGGGAGAGCAGAAGAAATGTCCCCAGTATGTCAGCCACAGCCCTGGGTCAGTCACCTCCCTTACTCCCTTACCCAGGCCCAGCCCAGACCACAGGCTGGCCCCGGTCTGCCACTCCCACTCCAACCACCAAAGAAAATAGAATCACCCAAGGGAACAGACTGAAGTCCCATTTCTCAGCTGAGAATACTGAGGTCTCTGTGCATGGCTGAGCTTTGTGGTGCCTAGGGAAGGGCTCAGGATTCATCCCTTCCCCGTGTTCCCTTCCATCTTCACACCTTAGCACCTGCTGTTCCTACCACCCAGCAGCCCTCCCCTTACCCAAAGCTACTTGCCATTCCAGAGCTCCTCCACCAGGGAGACTTCCCTGGCTACCCCAATTCTGATTGTCCTCTGAGCTCATCACACTCAGCCTGTGTCCCAAAGGTTAACACAGAGGAGGGCGACTTGAGCCAGCCGCTAAAGGGTAAGGAAGATGCACCTGGACTGAAGCGGCTCTGTGTTGGTGCAGGCAAAGTTGGCAGAGGACCACCGTGAAAGTCACAGTGACCGTGAGTGAATGATGGTTACCAAAACTGTACAAAACACCCTGACATTTAGAGGACTCACCCCAGACAGGCACAGAGGTTACAGGAGAAGGAAGGAATTGTTTCCCTTTGCAGGAGAAGGGAAGGGTCACAGAGGCTTCATGGGGGAGGTGGGCAGGATTTTAGCAGGCCAAGAATAGTAGGGTGGCATGGCGGGAAGTGAGACCAGGAGGCAGGGCAGAGGCTGAGAATGCCAAGGGTGGAGGTGGGGAGGGCAAGTGGCTTTAAAGGGAGCGTAAGATACAAGGGAAAGAGGAGGCAGGGTGACAGCAAGGGGAGGCCCGGGCCGGTCAAGGGGCGTGGGGGGTGTGTTACGTGCAGGGGCTAGAAACCATCGAGAAAGGAATGATGAGATCAGAGAAAAATCATTCCTCTGGTCCTCTGGGTCTGAAAGCCCCAGTTAGCCTAAAAACATAGCCAAGCTCTGACACCTTGATGCCTACACCAAGCTGGGGAGCAGGCTGAGGGAAGGAGGAGGATGATGCGGGGTGCAGAGGCGGCCATTCCCCCCTCACCTGGCTGCAATGGTGGCCACGTTCTCCATCCAGGCCATGATCTGGCCCCCAAAGGTATTGCCCTGGTGATTGGCATGGGGGGGCAGGACCAGCTCCACACTCTCCACGTGGGTGCTCTCGGCAGGCACCACGTGGCAGCAGTCTCTGCTGTCCAGGTCTGCACAGGATGGGGCTGAAGTGGGGAGGCAGGAGGTGAGATGGTTCCGGGGGCAGGCTGTCCCCACTGGCAGCTGCAACCCCCATCACCACCTCACTCCCTGGCCCAGATTCTTTTACTTCCTCTACACAGAGTTGCTGAACTTGGCCACGGAATGGAAGGAAACGAGGAGGCACTGGCCAGAATACCAGCACATACCGAATTTCCCTCAACCCCACCCCATGCAGGCTGTATGACCTCGGGAAAGCCAAGTAACGTCTCTGAACCTCAATTCCTTCGTCTGCACAGGGCAGAAATGAGACGCCACCTGACATACTGGGATGAAATGTGACCATGTCACAGAGGGCGCCAGCCTCAGTACACACCCACGGGGAGCTCGCTCCTCTCTGCCCTGACACGCTCATCTCTGGGGGGCAATGGCAGTAGGATACCCTCAGTAGAAGAGGGGTCTCCCAGGAAGAGACCTCACCAGGAGGACGTATCAAGGAGAAGCCATTTTGCTTGTCTTGCATGTTGCTTGGAAATGCCATAGAAGGGAAGACAGGCGCCCCCTGGTGGTGCAAGGGGTTAATTCTTAGCACCATAAAGCAATCTGCAGCCCCTGCAGCAGGAGTTCGATCCCACCAGGGCATGACCCACATGGCACAGCAGGACAATTACAGGAGCAATGGGGCCCTGTCCTCAGCAGAGAGACAGCACTAGATGAAGCTGAGTGGTCCGCTGAGCTGGGAGGCCAGGCTAAGGCCTGGATGGAGCCTAGGCTCAGATAATATATAGTGTACTCAGTGCACAGAGAATACTTTGGGAAAGATACCCCAAAATGAGCAACTTAAAGAGTTGCCGCTGAAGGAGCCTTAATTCTGGGGTAGGAGACAGTCTTGCTTTTTGTGCTATAGCTACAGCTACATATCATTTCTATTTCTTTTTTTTTTTTTAAGATTTATTTATTCATACAGAACCTGGGTATACGCCAGAGATTCAGGGGTGGTGAGAGAATTCACCAGAGACTGAGTGGGGAGCAGAATAGGCAGATTAACGAAGAACACTGCTGAAGGGAGCAGTGGGCGAGAAAGGAGAGGTCTGCCGTGCCAGGTGGGTCACCTCCAGGGCCAGGATCAAACTCACACCAAAGTGGTTGCGGCTGGCTTGCGGTGCTGTGTCCTAACCTGTTGTGCCACCAGGGAGTGCCCTATCATTTTTATTTCTAATCTTTATATCTAAACCCATCTATCCATCCATCCATGCACAGGTGTTTTAACAAACCCTCTAGTCGTCCGGCCAAGCTCAACACCACCCTCCTAAGTGCCTTGACTCCTAGAGACCAGATGCACCTGGTATACATCTACCTCCATCTTCTCCCTGCTGGTGGACAAGAGGTCAACACGCCCCTCTCCCCGAGGGAGACCTTGAGGCAGGAGGCCAGCCAGCCTGAGGCCACCAGTACAAGGACATCCCGAGAAGACACCGTTCCTCCCTCCACCAAGTGGGGGCGGGGGGCAGGCCATGCAGGAGGCCGGCAGCCCCTGTACCCACAGCCCCTCACCATCCTGGATTGCACAGTTGGCCAGGAGGTCCTTGATGGTGTCAGCATAGAGCAGTCGCATGCGCCGGCGCTCGGCGGCCACGCTGTGCTCCGTCTTCTCCTCCTCCGTCCTCGGCGTGGTCTGCTTCAGCTTCACCTGCGGGCAGAGGTGGTTGGGGTGCTCAGAACAAGTCCCTGAAAAGGCGCAAGGGTCAGCCCTCGGGCCACCACCTCACTCCTGGTGTTGGCAGATCATTATAGGGCTTCACCCCCCACCCTTGGTCCCCATCTTCCTGTCTCTGTGTTGACGTCTGCATCATATCCTTCCTCCAAATGTCCCCTTGCTTAGGCAAAAGCACAGAGGAAGGGGGGTGTCAATGCAGGCTTGTGAGGAAATGGTAAGACCTGAAGAAGCCTCAGGTGAGACGCACAGGTGAGATGCACAGGAGGAGGTGAGGCAGAGGAGAGAGGGAAGGGCCCCTGGGGTTGGACTGGAGTGGGGGTGGGGCTTCCTTTTGGGGCTGTGGATTCCCTGCTGAGTCCCCGCCTCACCCTCCACCAACCCCAGCCTCATCACCTGTTCCAGTCCTGCCTTGACAGGTAGCAGGTGACCCGGCAGCACAGAGCAGCCAGGTGTAGTCACTCACCTTGGAAAGCTCCCTCTGGGCCACAAAGGTGGCCAAGGCCTTGCACACAATCCATTTGTCCTCAGAGCACAGGTCCTCAGAGGTAACCTGGATGCCCACCTGGAGGACCATAAGGTGGGGGTAAGAGCTAGAACTCACTAACACAAAGTACCACAGCTCAACGAGACAGGAAGTTCACCCCAAGTCTGGCACTGGGATTTCTGGATCACCCACTGGGAGTAGGCTAGGTTCTGATTCTGCACCCTCATCACTTCCCTTTTCTGGATCTCAGTTTCCTATAAAATGGGAGTCAGCCTACCCACCCTCACGGGGTTAGTAAGAGGAGAAAAATGAGATTGTATCTATGAAAGGGATTAAGATGAATCAAATTAAAAGTGGCCAATTGAAAGACCAGACACCTGAGGATGCCTGGGGGTGCCGAGGTATTTGTGGGGTGTCAGAGACAGTCAGGACTCGGCTAGCCTAGCCTCGGTGGTCCCTCAGGAACCCTGGCCCAGCTGGGTGAAGTTGTCTGGGCCTGACCTCCATAGGTAAAAAATCAAGTCCCTGCCCAGAGCTCACAGAGCCCTGCAGCACGGGAGTCATGTCCCCATTTTACAGAGGGGAGACAGAGGCTGTGGGAGCTAAAGTAATGGGCCTAATACTCTCTCTGCTCCAGTCTAGTTGCCAGGCTCAGCTGTAGAGATTCCCCCCATCTTCCATGACCACCTGGCTGCCGGGAGAGGCTCTGAGGCTGTGTGCAAAGGCCAAGCTACTAGAAGTCAAGTCCCAGATTGGAATCATGTAGTTTCAAGGCCCTGGGCCAAGTCCCTTCCCCTCCCTGGACTCCCTCAGATGCAGGACTTTGGACAAGAAGATCCTCCCAGCTGTTTCAAAACGCTGGGCCAGGCCTACCTGATGGTGCAGGGGTTAAAGTCTCAGGAATATGAAGCTTTCGGCAGCCACTGCAACCTGAGTTTGATCCCTGGCCAGGGAGCTGACCCACATGGCATGGCAGACCTCTCCTTTCTCACCTGCTGCTCCCCTCAGCAGTGTGTTTTGGTCAATCCACCTGTTCTGCTCCCCACTGTCTCTAGTGAGTCTTCTCTCTCTCTCTCACACACACACACATACACCCCACCTCTGGCCAACACCCCAGTTCTTGGATGCATAAATAAATAAAAATAAATCAATATAAAAAAAAACAAATAAAACCCTGCGCCCTGACCAGGACTCTGAGTGTGAGTGTGTTAGGACAGGGGCTGAGAATGACAAAGGAGAAGGAAACCTAACCCCCCACCTCCAGGCAGAGCCCACCCCACACACCTCCATACTGGAGTTGAAGGCCCGGTTCACCTTGGCCTTGATGTTCACCACTTGTCCAACGCTGGGGAAAGAGAAAGAGGACATGAACCAGAAGGGCAGGGGAGGGAAAAGAGGCACAGGAACCTTGCCGGGCAGCACCACGTCGTGGCTCACAGAGCACATTCATTTCTGTGCATCACCAAATTCTCAGAGCAAGCCAGCAGTCATGTGACCCCATTTTACAGGTGGGGAAGCTGAGGCTGAGAGAGTCGCATCGTCCCATCCAACTCCATCCCTCCACTTCCCTCTGCTCCCCTTTGTCCAATTAATGCCTGACCTTCCTTTTGCTCTCCATTCTCCCTGCCTTCCTATGGCCCCGTAAGCGTCACCCTCCTATACTTCTTCCTGCAGGTTGACCTGTCTTCTCCACTCTCCTTAAGTTTCACGGGGGCAAAGATCACGTTTGTTTTGCTCATCATTGGCTCTCCAAGGCCTAGCACGCAGCAGAGTGACAGTGGCTTGCTGAATTAAAGTATCACACACATATTAAATGTCTTACAAGTGCAAAAGGCTAAAAACAGAAAGGAAAACATTTTTTAATGCCTACTACGTACCTCACTGAATTCAAGACAAGGCTGGAGGGAGGCTTCAGGAGGACTGAGCATCAGAGGGGTAAGCCATTTGCTCAAGGTCACCCAGCTAAGAGTGATTCTAGACCGTGTTGACTGCACTAGCTCCATTCTCTCTGGCTGCAGCTTACCCCTCTGGAATGATCTCTGGGCTGGATGCAAAGTCAGAAGGACTGGGGGAGCTGCTAACTGGAGGCAGCAGGGAATGACCAGCTGCTGGAGTGTGGGAGGAGGCAGCAGAACTTGGGGTCTAGCCTCATCTGGTCACCGAGTGACCTTGAGGTGCCCTTTCCCCTTTCTGTACAGAGCTAATGAACAAGGAGAGCATAGAGCTTATTTCTTTCTCCAATGACTCAGCCTCCCCTCCCAGCCCCACTGCACCCCAAGACTAGTAAAGGTCCATTCCAAGGGCAGCCTGGTCAAGGGGCAGGAGGGGACCTAGTGGTAAGGGTCACTAAGGCCTGGGTTAACCTCTACCTTGACTATCATGCTACAAGCTGTGTGACCTTGGATGAATCACTTTGCTCTTTGATCCTATTTCCTGGTCTGTAAAGTAAAAAAAAAAAAGCATGATGCCGGGGGTCAAGGGAGAGGAAGCTGAGGCCCTAACCCAGGTCTGGCTCACTTTCGCTAGGGACTTGTCCACCCCTGGTCATTCTCTCAGCCGTACTAATAATCATGTAAGGGGTCATTATTTTCAAGAGCTACACATTGACATTGGAGGAACGGCGTATATAACGCTGCAACTTCTTTGTAAAATAGCTCAGTTTAAAAGAGAGGGAGGGAGGAAGATAAGTATATATATTTATTTATCCACATATAGATAAAGCAAATTTAGCAAAATGTTCATTATTGAATCTCAGTGGTGATCATTACACTATTCAACTTTTCTATCGTTTTCAAAGTTTTCATGGTAAAAAATTGGGGGAAAAACTTCCATGATCCTTAAAATAAAAATCTATTTTTTGTGGTGCTAAAATAGAAAGAGAAATTTGTGACGCTCCTCCTCCTCTCCTCTTACTCTTTCTCCTCTTCCTCCTCCTCCTATTCTTAGCTTCCCCACAGGCCAAGAAGACACCCATCAGACTTCAGAACTTCTCTGCCTTCCTGACTCCCTTCCACGCCTCAGCCCAGACTGGATCCCTCCTCAGGGCTCACCCAGCCTCCTAGGCCTCACAGCTCCCTGTAGGTGTTCCTCACATAGCAGAGGCACAATCAACAGCCAGCCTTGTGCAAGCCCCTCCCTGCGGCCAGTTTACTTGGTCCCTGGGGGACCAAGTTGACAACAAATGACACAGTGATGCTAACAGCAAAGCCCAGATGATGGCGAACTCTAGGGGCAAACAACAGGCTTTCCTACTCTAGGGGCAAACAACAGGCTTTCCTACAAATAAGTGTCAAGTAAAAGGAGAGACAGACAGAGACAGAAAGACAGCAAAAGAAACAGCCATAGATTTGGGGGTAACATCCACAGATTTGAAAGATTACTGAAAAGACACAGCAGCTACACAGGGCCTTATTTGCATCCTGACTTGAGGTATAAAAATAACTGGAAAGGCCCTCCCTGGTGGCGCAGCAGGTTAAAGCACAGCACTAAGAAGCTAAAGCCACTTCAGCATGAGCTCAATCCTCCCCCCACCCTCACTCCCACCAGAGGTGACCCACAAGGCACGGCAGGCCTCTCCTGGCTGGCCCGCTGCTCCCCTCAGCAGTGTACTTCGTCAGTCGGCCTGTTCTGTTCCCCAGTCTGTCTCTGGTGAGTCCTCTCACCACCCCTGCACCTCTGGCCTGTACCCCAGTTCTGTGTGCATAAATAAATAAATCTTTTCTAAAAAATAAGTGGAAAGCAAAACAAAATTGTAAGTCCTTATGGGCAACTGAATTCTGACTGGTTATTTGATGTCAGTGAGAATTATTCAACTCTGTGTTAGATGTGCTCATGATATTAAGGTTCTGTTTAAATAATTCTTACCCTTTAGAGAGTTACATTTGAAGTTTTTTAAATGACAAAAGCAAAAACAAAACCTTCCCCCAGTCTTTCCCCACTGCCCACCAGGCCTTTCCAAGTCACTGGCCATGCTCTAGGTCCCTCCCCAACTTGCTCTCCTTCCCAGGATCCTTTCTGGATTTTTCTATCCCTAGCTCATCAGAGTGCCAGCTGCTGTGTTGGCAGAACTGGTCCAGACACAGCTCCACCAGCCTTCAAAGTGTCATTATATGCAATTCAGACTGTGTAGAGCTAATTCAAACATCTCCTCCAGGAAGTCTCCCTTGGTTACCTCTATGCCCCAGACATACAGAAATATAACAATGATTAAAAGCAAGGGCTCTGGGGAAGATTGCCTGACCGGTAGAACGTTCTATGTCCTCCACTAGCTGTATGACCTTACACAAGTTATTTCACTTCTCTGTGCCTCAATTTCCTCATCTTTAAAGCGAGGCTACTAGTAACGAGATCCACACAATGTTGTTCTAAGAATACACCCATGTATTTAAAAAGCATTATAAATATTGACAAAGCTCACACAATAATAGGGGAACTGGGTGTGGGTACATGCAAATTCGCTGTACTATACAGTCAGAGTTACAATTTTTTTTTTGATAAATCAAAACTATTCTAAAGTAAAAGACATTTAGAAAAAAGCATGAGGGCACACCTACATGTCAGAGCTCATTATTAGCACAGAACTTACCTTTTGAAATGAAATTAGCTTCTAAAGCTGCCTCCCAGCAGACTGGGGGTTCCCAGGCAGAGGGACTATGCTCCAGGGACTCTGAGTACCCCAAGCCCAGCAGGGGCCCTGGTCCAGAGAAGGTACAAGTAGTGATGAAAGACTGAATAACATAATCCAGGGACTGGACAAACTTTTTCCTTAACCATGACACAATGGGCAGCCAGGAAGTCCTCAGTAAGCCCTGGAGGAGGGCTAGATGCTGTCGGAGAGTTCAGAGCAGACCTCAGGCCACAGCACTGAACGCCACCCGCAGCCTGTCCTTCAGCAGGGCTTAGGAGTGCTCCTCGGTCCCAGCAGAGCAGAAGCAAGCTCAGCAGAGTGCAGTGCAGAGCTTTCTAACGGACACAGACATTTTAAAACAAAACAAAGAGAAGCAGCGAGCATTCGTGAGCTATGTGACAGAAGTCATGTAAGGAGAAGCTGAATGGCCAAGCTGTCAGCTCAGACTGCCGGGGTGCCTTGCTGGAGCCTCCTACACTGGCATAACCATGAGCCACACCGAAGGGCAAGCACCAAAAGGTATCTACTGATGCAGTCTAATCCTTCCATTTTGCAGATAAGAAAACTGAGGCCCAGGAAAGAGACCGACTTCCCCAAAGTCACACAGCACCTGGTGCCCTCTCAACAATGTCCAACCCCAAGCCTGAGGCAACTTCCTCAGCCCCACCCAGACCAAGGCAACCTACCCCACAGCTCTCAGCAGCAGGCCAGCTCCCAACTCAGTGCTGCCTCTAGAGGCCCGCAGACAGGCCCTTGCGCCCAGAGGTTCCCCCACTCCATCCGCAAGGGCCCTTCTGGTCAGACGGTCAGGTTCCAGGCAGCACACAGGCTGACAGGAGAAGGACCTGGGTTCATGGGGAAGAGAGCAGAGGAACCAAGAGGCGGGAGGGGCCGCTTACCTGATGGTGTGCTCAAAATAGATGTCGTCCATGGAGGCCGTGACACAGGGGCACCCAGCGTGCCTCTCGGCTGGCACCAGAAGAAGAGAGTCGTAAGTTAGCACACTCCCTTGTCACTCAGGCCTCCCTCTGGTCAAACAGCAGATCAGCCAGCTGAGGCCTGGCCTCCTCTCCTGCAACCCCACCCTTCTTTTCTTTTCAATAGTACTTTTCCATAGTACCCAGCCCTGACCTGCTTCTTTCTACTGGCTGGCATTTCTCCCTTGTGCTCTGCTCTAAGTTACTGGAGGGTAAGGATCTTGCCTGCTTTGTTCACTGCAGTGGCCCATCCTGGAACAGCGCTTGGCACATGGCAGAGGCTCAGTAAGGAACGACCACTCCGTGCCATTCTGCTTCCCAGCTTCCTCCAGGGCCCACACCTCTGCCCAGTCCATGTCAGCCACTTTTGTTCTCCTGCCCAAGTCACTCCTACCCTCTGGAAACCCCTCTCTATCCCCAGGGCTGGGTCAAGGCCTCTCGTCTGTTCTCCCAAAGTCCTCTTTTTCCTGATCCCATCAAATGGCCCCAATACACACATACACCGCCCCCACAGACTTGAAGCTCCCCCTGAGTTGGAGAGGACTTGTTCCCCCAAAGCACTGGAATGACTTCAATTCCACTAGACTCCACTCTACTCAATACCAGGAGCTGGGCAAGGCAGACAGCATGGACTCCGCCCACAGTGCTCTGAGAAGAGCCACTTTTTTTTTTTTTTTTAAAGATTTATTTATTTGTACATACAGAACTGGGGTACAGGCCAGAGGCTCAGGGGCGGTGAGAGACTTCACCAGAGACAGAGTGGAGAACAGAACAGGCAGATCGACGAAGTACACTGCTGAGGGGAGCAGCGGGCGGGTCAGGAGAGGTCTGCCACGCCATGTGGTCTCCTCCGGGGCAGGCGGGAATTGAACTCATGGGGAAGTGGCCTCAGCTTCGTAGTGCAGTGCTTTAACCCGCTGCGCCACCAGGGAGGGCCCAGAAGAGCCACTTTTAAGGCTGTGTGGTCCTGGAGCATGGCCTTAAGGGCATGGGACCAACACCAGGAAATTAGGGGTCTTAGGGCTGGGCCGATGGGGCTCCGAGCTGAGCACTGAGAAACTGGAGAGGGTATTTCAGGCAGGCGGACCGGCAAGAGCCAAGGCCAGATGAGGAACAAGGCACTCAGGGGGACAGTGACCCTCTCTGGAAACTGAAGCCTCTCCTCTGGGCGTGCTTGGGGGAGGGAGGACAGCCAGGCGCTGCAGCCTCACCAGACAGACAGGCCGTGGTGTCGATCCACTTGAGCAGCTGCCCGATGCTCAGTTCGCCACGCTGGTTGGTATGGCAGGGCAGCACCAGCTGGCTCATCTGCACTTCTGTGGGGTTCCTGTACCCCTCACCGTCAGCCATGGTACAGTCCTTGTCATCCACACGCGAGGCTGACCTCCGGGAGGTGCGGCCCGAGAACACAGAGGCAAAGCCCTGGCACACAGGGAGGGACCAGAGGTCAGCTCACAGGAGGGCGTCCGAGTCTTCCGGCCCCTGAGACCTGAGGGCCAGAAGAGGTGCCAGCACCCCGTGGACACTGCCCACCAGAACCCAACCCCAAGGGTCCCCACCCAGAGTCTCAAACCCCAGGGGACCGTCTGGATATCACTCTTGCTCAGTTTCCTTTTGGCCAGCAACACCATATAAATACAACCTTGAACCTGAGGGGTGGGAAGGGGAGCAAAGAATTGAATAGAGAATTCAGCCCTCCTCACTTCAGCTCTCGGGCCAACATTTTACAGTTCACCCACATTCTTGAGAGATTCCCCGAAAGCAGGGGGGCTGCCAGGGATGTGTGTCCAGTCAAGTGTTTCTAGAAGCAGCTATTTCCACCCCAAAAGGCTCCCTCCTGGGGCTCCTTTTTTTTTTTTTTTTTTTTTTTTTTTTTTTTTTTTTTAAAGATTTATTTGTGCATACAGAACTGGGGTACAGGCCAGAGGCTCAGGGGCGGTGAGAAGCTTCACCAGAGACAGAGCAGGGAGCAGAACAGGCAGATCTACGAAGTACACTGCTGAGGGGAGCAGCGGGCGGGTCAGGAGAGGTCTGGCTCGCCATGTGGTCTCCTCCCGGCAGGCGGCAGGCGGGAATCGAACTCATGCGGAAGTGGCTTCAGATTCTCAGAGCTGTGCTTTAACCCGCTGCGCCACCAGGGAGGGCCTGGGGCTCCTTTGTTGGAAGGATGGCAGGGGGTTCCTCCACTGGATACTCTGTCTTCAGCACCTGGCTTTGTGGACTGGGAGGCCCTGGCAGTCACAGACCAGCTGTCTATCCAGGACAGCAGCTGCCAGTGGGAGAATCTTCACAGTCATGAATTAGAAGTGGTGTTTCCATCCAGGGCCCAAGTTCTCTCAGGCCCCAGGGAGAAAATGTAGGGGGGACGCTTCAGTCCCCGGTATTAAAGGGGTGGGGGCAGGAGAGCCCAGCCGCACGCACTCAGGTCTCTGGCCTGCTCTTCCTCATCAGCCTGTGAAGGAGACTGGGACCTCTGCAAGTGTGAGGAAAACGACAGGAAGAGGAGGGGTGTGGGTTCCAGGCCCCACAGACAGCACCCACCATCACCCAGGCTACTGACGCTTACATAGCGTGTATTAAGCCTCCAATACTCTCTGGAGCATGAATATGTACTAATTCAATTTTATCTGCACAACCCACCTCTGAGACAGGTACATCACTCTCCTCATTTTACAGATGAACAAAACGAGGCCCAAATAATAGCAAAGTCCAATTGTGATGCCAGAGGTCTGATTGCTTAGGGTCTGAGCTCTGACCTCAGGACACAAGCTTGCAGGGCCTCCTGGGACTGAAATGATGAGTCCAGGGTGCTGGGCCTGGACAGAGCTGAGCAAAGAGCTGGGACCCGATGCTGACCTTGTCACAGCTGCAGGATGGGGCCAGTGAGGACTCCTGTGTAGTTCCTCTAGCTAATTCAGTAAGTTCAAAACACATCTAGGTGACCTGTCAAGGTCATTAGCCCCTAAGTAGTAGAACTAGGATTTGAACCAGGCTGTCTGATCCAAAACAGTTTGGGGGGTCCCAAGAGGTAGTTGATTTCTGGGAGCCCCTGGGTACCAGGCACAGTACTAGGTATGAGAAGAGCAGAGGGCAGTCGCCTCTGGTGCTCACGGGGTGGGTGGGAACTTGCAGAATGCCAGGCTGCCAAGCTTGCAGGCTCCTACGGATAGCTCACAGGCTGCGGAGGTCCAAGCAGCAGGACTCGTCACCATGGTAACCACTGCCAAGGCATTTCCGGCCCGGTGTGCACTGGGGGCCTCATGGATGTGGATGCGGGTGGCTGACTTTCTGGGTGTGGGAGACAGTAGAGGGAGTAGGAAGGCAGACTCCACTCACCTACACTCTTCTTAAACCCCTCCCGCAGCCAGGGGTTTTGAGCAGAGCGTTCCAGAAAGACCCTGGAGAAAGCCAGGGAAATGGCGGAGGCAAGATGCAGACGGTAAGCAGGCAGAAAAAGGAAGCAGACCCTGTGGAGCAAGTATCTGGGCAGTTCTGGGCACACACACAGCTCACACGCTGTCGTTCACAGCCGCCACCTCGCTGGAGCCTCACAAGGACAGCACAGGGTGGGCCTGTTGACTCCATTTTACAGGTGAGGAAAAAGCCCTACATAAGCAGGCAGGACTCCCGAGTTCAGGCCTCTCTCTGCCTTTCCCCTGATCGGTTCCCACTCCCACCAGCCTCCAATTTCCTGTTTCCACTAGACTCTAAATGCCAGGGGGTAGGAACGTTGTCTTGTTCATTTGTTCACTCATTCCTTCTCTGCTGTATTGGACTGTGGACCATACACAACACAAAGACAAATCAGGCCAATCCTTTTGAGGAGATTCTACTCTCATGCTCCTGCCTACAAGGACCCAGCACATAGTAAATCCTCATTAATGGTTTGCGGAAAGTTGACCCAAGATAGACACGAATCTAAATCCTAGTCGTGTTCTTCAGGTACTCTGATCCAGAGTAAGTCTCTTTTTTTTTTTTTTTTTTAAGATTTATTTATTCATACAGAACTGGGGTACAGGCCAGAGATGTGGAGGGTAAGAGGATTCACCAGGGACAGAGTGGGGAGCAGAACAGGCCAACTAACAAAGTACACTGCTGAGGGGAGCAGCGGGCGGGTCAGGAGAGGTCTGCCTCGCCATTTTGGTCTCCTCCGGGGCAGGTGGGAATCGAACTCATGTGGAAGTGGCTTAAGCTTCTTAGCGCAGTGCTTTAACCCGCTGCACCACCAGGGAGGGCCAAGTCTCTCTTCTTTTGAGCCTCATCTGTCACTCATCAGGTGGGTGGGGAATAGGAGGTTTCCAGCATAGGGGTCCTCAAGGACCTCCAGCCCTGATTCCAGGATTCTGGGGTCTCAGTGTGCCTGCAGAGCCCTGGCATGCCCAGCTGAGATTTCCAGTAAAGGAAGTTAAGGAGCCCTGTTGCCCTCTCAAATAGGAGCTACTGAATTCCTCAGAGCAGCTGAGTTCCCTCTCCCTGTTCCAGGCAAGCTGAAGGATAAGCTCTACTGCGGTTATCCCCCAACTCTACTCAAGACTGGGGTACAGAGAGCCCCTGGGCTGGAGCACAAGCAGAGAGCACAGCGTCTCAGACTCCAATTCCTTTCTCAGCATTAAAGCAGTCCTTCCCCATCAGGGCAGGCCGGGCCAGGCCTCCTAGTCCCAAGGTGGCAGGCAGCCATCAGGGGAGGCGGGGGCGTGAGTGGCCCAGCCAGAGTTTGGCCAATGGGGCCCCAGAGGCAGGCCACACCTCCCAGACCCAGTCAGGGGTGGGAGCAGGAATCCTGGCAAAGTCATGGCCCTGGGTGGCCAGGCAGGCTGAGCCAAGACAGCTGACAGGCCGGGCAGAGCCAGCTATGAAAGCAGGAGAGCATCTGAGGGTCAGAGACATGCCCTCTCAGATGGAAGCCATGCCAGATACTGGCCCCTGGCCACAGCTGACCTGGCCAGATTTGATAATCCCAGACTAGGCCTCAGCTGCTAGACTGTAGGCTCTGTCCCACTTCCTGGGCCAGGATCATGTCACAAATCTGCTGGTTCAGAGAGGGGAGGCCACTTCACCCAGTCCCTTTGCAGAGGGGAGAATGAGGCACACAGAGGAGGAGGCTGGTGCAGGGACACAGAGCTGGGGAGCCAGGGTGAGCCCCCCGGAGCCAGGGTCTCCACCCAGGCAAGGCCACACTAACAGACTGAATCTGGATTTACAGATGGAGTCATCTGTAAAATGGAGGCCCCATGCCTCCTCTCATCCTACCCCACTGCCCTGTACACTCAAGTGCCCACACTGCTCACTCCCTGGATTTTTTCCACAGTCTGCCCACAGGCCTCCGGTCTCCTCCCTGTACCAGAGGGACCTCTCCAAAAGCAAATACACCAAACTTGACACCCACACTTTTCTGTGCCCTGCCTGGCAGAAAGACCAGGTCCAGTCCTCATAACTCTTCCCGCCGCAGGACTTCATTCTGTCACTTAGGGCCACACCCGGAGGGCAAGACTGACCAGGCACTTCCCTGCTCAAGATTCCTCGAGAGCACCCCATTGCCCACAGTATGAAGGCCCCACTTTAGTTCATGCAGCAGAGCAGGTCCTCAGTGTGCCAGGGTCGCCCAGCTCTATCCGTCCACTGCCTTCTGCCTATGAAAGCTTTATCAGCCCCCTCTGCTAGGTGAATCCTCCTCCTGTCTAGTTCCCCATCCCATCTCTCCTCAGGGAAAGTCAGAGCCGTCCAGGCCCCCCTCAGTCTCTCCAGTTCAGGAAGAGAGAAGCCTGAACTTGGGTGTCCTGCCTGCTGGTCTAGGGCTTTGCCCTCATCTGTAAAATGGAGTCAACAGGCCCACCCTGTGCTGTCCTTGTGAGGCTCCAGCGAGGTGGCGGCTGTGAACAGCAGCGTGTGAGCTGTGTGTGTGCCCAGAACCACAGCACCAGCCAAGCTGCAAGGTCACTGATTTCACAGCCACCTCCCCCAGCAGACAGGCATTTCCACAGGGTATGGCCGGATTCAGGCCTGGCACAGGGCAGCCTATGGGAGAGGAAAAGGCTAATCTCAGGTCAGCCTTGGGGCTGAGACTTGAAGAGGAGAGGACGCAGCAGGCCTGGGAATGAGAAGACATAAAGAAAGGAAGAAAGGAAAAGCAGGAACGGTGTGGCTCTGGCATCAGGGAAAACGGTTACTTGTAGGCAGAGGGGGGGGCCCAAGGAGTCCCAGAAACCAGGGGAGACCCCAGCAGAGGGGCATGAACTCAAGACTAGCCAGAAAAGGAGAGCAGGTTTAATCCTACAGCCCAGGACATTGTTCTGTCTCTTCGAAGCTTCGTGCCTGCGAGCACCACAGAGAACAGCAGGCCTGGGGGACCTCTCTACTAACACACCATGACACGAGGCTGAGCAAGGGCCCTGGGTTCAAGTCCACTGCCACAAAAACACGAG